GATTAGTAAATGAGTTTCTCGTAGTAGCAGGATACAAAGTCAGTATAAAATCAATTGTATTTCTCTACAATGGCAATGAACAATTGGAAACTGGAATTGGAAAAATAGCGCCATTTGTAATACAATCAAAGTAAATTCTTTCATATAAATCTCACAAAATATATGCTGGGTTTGTATTCTGAAAACTACAAAGTAATGATCAAAGACATCAAGAAGATCTGACTAAATAAATGGAGCATTGATTGATTGAAGAAAGATCATGGGTCTATTTTTGCCAAAACTCATAGAACTGGATAACCAAATGTCTGAATTCATTTTATGATATGTAAGTTAAATATATTTAAAGAAGAAATAGTAACTTTTTAAAGTTGAAACAATTCTTATGGTGAGGAAGCTGCCACATAGAGTACTGAGTGAGTATTATCTTTAAAGAAAAAGCATAACTTCATTGTTTTGCTGTATACATTTCTCTTTACTACAAAAATGTGAACAACTTTATAAAAGTGCTTACGGGATAGGTATAGGTACCCTTATGGTATCTGAACATTTGGTAAGTTGGACAATTCCACTAAATTCTTTTTCTAATATTAGAGGACTCCTTTAGATTTTTCCCACACCTTCAAACAGTATCATTCTAACTACTGCCCTTTTCCAAGAAAATTCATGCACATTCATTGAAAGAAGGATCTTTTTAGACTTTACCAAAGTAGCATATATGAAAGAAAAGTCTAGCTTTGTGACTGTGAATAAATAAGTATGTGTTTAGTCACTGATTTTTCAACAAATTGCTTATTATATTTTTTTATAAAAAATTGCATGCTGTGGCTCATAATCAGAATATTGTGAATATTCTCTGAATATTCGTAGATTGGTTTGTCAGGATGTTGCCTTCATCTCATTTATGAAGGCCCCAAATACACAAATCATACTTTAATGAGAACCTGAATGGTGCATACATATTATCCAGTTAAATAACTAAGGACCTAGTAATGTATTACAAATTACCTTTTTTGTCTTATTAACTTCTAGCTACCTTTTAAGATCTAATAACTGTTCCTTGAAATTCATTACTAATTTAAGAAAATGGACAAGGAAATAGTCTAAAGCCCCTGGAATCAAAAGTGGATGTCAATTATAACTTTTACTGCAATGGCCTTGAGACTTGGACTTCATTCTGTACCATCTGAGAGAGAGTCTGGCCAATTTTACACAGCTTGCTTGTACAAGATAAGATTTGAAGGAAATGTGTCTTCTTTGGTATAGAGACCTTAAAATGGTTGGCAATGCTTCATCCTGATGAACATGTATCATGGAGAGAGGATTTTAAAATCCCCAAAATAATTTTCTGCAGCTAGATTGTGGTGTAATATAACAATGAGAAAGAAAGAGGGTGGGGATGTAGAGAGAATGCATATGAATATAAATTTAGATAATTGACATCATTAAATAGTTTTGAGCTCTGAGACTGAATACACTAAAATAAAAAGAGGTGCCCAGGAGATTAATTGATTGTCGACTCTTACTCCCATCTACTGCTTTTATGGTTACAAATTCCAGTTTGGAGGATGAAGGTAGTATAATGGTTGACATTAGTGAAAGATATTTAATATCAATTGACACAAGCTACATTTTTAATACATGTAATTTATACTTGACTATTTTGCTATTTTTGTTTATAGTACTTCTGTGAGTTTTTTGTCTTGTATAAATAGTGAAAAATTAGAGATAATATACAACATTTAGTTGAACTATGGCCACTACTTAATTATTTAGCTTCAGGGGGCAGAAGATCTGCAGCTATTATGTGAATCTACAAAAGTTACAGTTTTAATTGTTTCATGTTAATTGTTATTGTGCAATCTTAGCTTCGTTCATTACCCACACTCCCTTAATTGACAATGCAGTTTTATTTTCAGTGGATCTTACATTCAAGAGGCTTTGCATATTCATCATTTATAAGCTCCCATTATAAGAAATCAGCTTATGGATGTTGTTCATAAATTGTTTTATAACCAGTTGCTTCAGTTTTATTCCAGATAAAAGTGTAAACAATTTACACACTATCTATGGTATTTTCAAGTATTTTGTTGAATTATTCTTAGGTCGTGTATTTATTCAGTCCTTAAACAAGTATATATTGAGCACTATGTTGTGCCAAGAGTTGTTTCAGACAATGCAGAGATAGCAGTAAAAAAACAAACAGCAATCCCTGTGTTAAGAGAGAAAGACACTAAACAAATAAAAACAAAATTTTATGTGAAGTGGTGATATGTGCTATGGAGAAAAATAAACCAGAAAGCCGAGATAAGAAGTGCCACAGGTGAAGGTAAGATGAAGTTTTAAATAGAGTAGTCAGGCATGGTACATGGAGAACATATTTATGAGAAAAAAAAAAAAATCCCCAAGATGTTGAGGGAGAAAGCCATGCCCATGCATATTTTGGAAGGAACCGTAAATGCAGAGGTCCTAAGGCGAGAGTCTTCCTGGTTTGTATGAGGAAGATCATGGTAAGGGCTTCTGCATTTATTCTGTGAAGGACAGAAACCCGTGTAGCAATTTTGAGCCGAGGAAACATGATCTGCTTCACATATTTAAAAGTCAGAAGGGGGCAAGGGCAGCAACAAGGGGGCAAAATAAGAAGTTATTAGTGTAATCCAGAAAGACTGATATTCCCTTGAGTCAGAATTGGTAGTAGTGGCAGAGGTGGTAGGACATAGTGAGATTCTGGATGTTGTTTTATAGGTAAAGGAAAGATGTGCTGATGGATGGCATGATGGGTGAGAGCAAGAGATGGGTCATGGATCCAGATTTCTTCCTGAAGTAGGATGGATGGCATTGTTATGAGCTGAGATGGGAAGAAAAGCAAGAGGATAAAGTCTGGGTAGACAGAATCAGACATTTAGTTTTAGACCCATTCCTATCAAGATGCATGTTAGCTCTCCAAATGAAAGGGCCAAGACAGCAACAGGATATTAATATTGGAGTCCAGTGAAGCTGGGCCTGAAATATAATTTTATGGGTCATTGGCATTTAGGAAGTGTTCTAAACGCACAAGATGAGTTGATATTAACAAGATTGTGGATGTAGAGAAGAGAAGAGATCCAAGGACTGAGCTCTGGAGCATTTTCATGTTACTTTGTGTAATGTGGAAGAAATGAGGGAAAACCAGCAAAGGAGACTGAGAATGAACAGCTAGTAATTTAAGAGGAAAGCCAGGAGAGAATCATGTATCAGAACCTAGCAAAGAAAAGATTTCAAGAAAAAGGGAATGATCAACTATGACCAATATTACTGACATGTCAGGTGTGACAAGGAGGAAAAATTAAATGTTGGATTTAGCAATATAGAGGTCATTGCTGATATATGCACTTTCAGTGGAGTGGTAAGGGTACAGAAAAGAAAAAAAGTTCTGATATATGCAACAACATGAATGAACCTTGAAAATGTTATGCTAAGTTAAAGAAGTCGAATACCAAAGTCATCCATATATTGTATGATTCTATTTATATGAAATGTCCAGAAGAGGCAAATCTATAGAGATGAAAAGGAGATTAGTCATTGCCAGAGTCTGAGGAGGAGCAGAGAATGGGGAATGACTTATAATGGGTATGTGTTTTATTTTGGGGTGATGAAAATGTTTTGGAGTTAGTGGTGATAATTGAACAATATTGTGAATGTATAAAAGTCACTGAATTGTACACTTTAAAATGGTTAAAATGGTGAATTTTATGTGATGTGAATTTAACCTCATTAAAAAAAAATCAAAATACCTCACTAGAACAAGGATGTGGGGAGAAGAATTGGTGTTGAAGTCAATGTAAACAGGTAGAACTTAGCAAAGTTAGTTGGAGGGGGTTGGAGGGTCAGAGGGTTTTCTTAAGATGGGTGAAATTTTGGCCCCATTGTGTACTGAAGTGAAAGAAAGCCTGTTGATGTAAAAGAGGGGAGGAAATTGCTGGAATGATTCCTACAACAGGGAAGAGGAGATGATTTTCTGTAGAAACATGGGCAGGGAGATGGGTGGTGGGACTTGTGAAATTTTCTGCTGTTTCCTCTCATTTTCCCAGTGAAATGTGAAGCAACATGATTATCTGAGAATGATGATGGGGAAGGAGGAATTGGAAGTTGAAGGAGGGGGTAAAGGGTTTTGAATAGCTATCTAGGAATGGAGGAAAAAGAAAGAAAGGATAATGTGGTGGGATGGCCACAATGCAATGGAGTGAGTAGTCACTGATATAAAACCATTTCGATCAGCATGGTGTTGGGCTCTTCCTCACTCACCTTCAGCCCCACAGATGCAGGCTGGAGGAGGTGGTGAATTTCCTGGAGGTCTCAGCCTACCCATAGTGATGCCTTTGACTGGGAATGCCTGGGGCACTCATCTGGACCCATGCTGCTTGTGGCGAGGCCCCTGTGCACATTTCCCCCACCAGAGCCCATGTGGTGGCTGATCCCAGGGCTTGTGGTTCTTGTCAGGATTGCAGCTCAGGTATTTCAGGAGGGGAGAGTGAGAACTGTCTGGAAGTGGCAACAGGACAGGAAGGATACCTAGTCCAGTTTCCAGCCCTGTGTTGGGAGGGCAGTAGAGGGAGAAACAGACACAATGGGAGAATATCGCAGGGACAGTAGTTCCAGTAGATCAGCTTCCAGTTAAAGAGGACAGCCTATGTTATAGATGACACATGTTCGATTATGCTCCTAATGATAGGCTTTTTATTTCCACATTAGGCCATGTTACTTCCATGGAAACATGGAAGATTTGGTCTGGGGGCTTGGTAGTCACCACAGGGATCTGGTTAAAATCCAGAAACACTGGAATAGTTGTATTGTTCTCTCTGTTTCTGTCTCTCTCTGTGTGTAATGGGGTTGCCTGAGGGGAGATGCTGCCACAGAGAGGCGTTGGGTGGAGAGTGCTTTCTAGAACAAATGCTAACGTCTTAAGAAATACATGTGTCTTTCCTTACTACATCTCACTTCTTGCCAATCTTTAAATTTAACAGATGAAATTTTACCATGTCCAGAAACATTGAATACAGAGCAGGAACCGTGCCATCTAGATACAAGTCTCGGCAGTTCTGATTCTACAGATGAAGGATTGAGGTGTAAGTGTTAAATTGAGATGCCCACCATGATGGTATGTAGCCATCCATGAGACTGGGACCACTGGTAGTAATTCAGACCACTACTAAGGATACTCATTTGCCAAACTTTGTTGATATTTATGTCCTAAGTTTAGCCGAAGTGTTATTGGTAGTCTGTGGTTTATTCAAAGCATGAAAGATACTAAATATGTCAACTTAAGGTGATGTTGTTCTGTAAAATAGTTCCATTAAAGACCATCTTTGAATTATATCCAGTGTTTCTTCTTTAAAATTTCAATGTGATTATGACTAGCAAATGATTTAAACTAACTTAGTTCCATAAGATAGGTCAGGTCAGATAGTATGTATGCCATTTAAAAAATTGTTAACTGGAGCAGTTGTACAAGAAGAAGTAAAAACATCTTTTCACTTTTGAATGGCAATGGTTTTCCTTTGGGAGGATGCCCATTTGGATCAAGGATGAGTTTTTGAAAAACAGATACGCTGGTATACTCCAAGGCTTGTTGAACCAAAATTTCTAAGTATGAATTAGTGTGTGTGTGTGTGTGTGTGTGTGTTAAGCCTTGATTACAACAACTATGGCTAAGCAGCCATTCTAGTAGACTATGATGGTCCACCATTATCTTTTCCGCCTTTCTGTAGTGTATCAGGTCTGTGGATTTGAATTTGACATGTGTGACTGGGTGTCAGAAACATCTGCTGGGCAAATTTCCTGGATGCGCACAAAAGCAAGAGAAGTTCCTATGTTACAATCTGTACCCCAGCAGGATCAAAGTAGTGATGAAGGTAGGAAGTAAAAAAAAATAATATTCTTTATATATTATTTTCAGAATTGTGATTTATTGTGAGTGGTATGAAGACATTTCATCAGGGGTCTTGATGAAGATACTGAGTATATTTTATTGAAACTATATTTGCCATAGATAGTGAAAGTAAAGAATCTTATTATCAACAGTGTAAAGGAAGACTTATACTAGGTTAGCTATTTTCATTTTGTAAATTTTATTATTTTCTTATCATTAGGAGATAATTTTGTGGGAACCAAAAAGAAAAGTATTAAAAGTCTTCTATCAAAATGTACTAGCTCTCCCTTTCACTGGTGTCAATGAGTTTCTTTCTTTTAATCTAACATTAAATTTGTGATTTCTGTTTATCTTTCTTTCCACTGCTTTTCTTTCTTTTTTTTTTTTTGAGGGGGCATATTGTTAGTCTTTTCTTAAATTAGTAATTTAAAATTTTATTACAGCAGAAAGTAATAGCTATTTTTTTCTGCTTCCGTGTAGATTTTACTTTCTCCATAGTTTTGCCTTTTCTGGAATGTCATAGAGTTGGAATTATACAATATGTAGCCTTTTTAGATTGACTTCCTTCATTTAGTAATATGCATTTAAGGTTCCTCTATGTTTTTTCATGGCTTGGTAGCTTATTTCTTTTTAATAGTAAATCGTATTCTATTGTCTGGATGTACCAGAGCTTATTCACCTACTGAAGGACATATTGGTTGCTTCCAAGCAATTATGAATACAGCTGCTATAAACATGCATGTGAAGGTTTTTGTGTGGATCTAAGTTTTCAACTCTTTTGGGTAAATGCTAAGGGCCATGATTGCTGGATCACATAGTAAGAATATGTTTAGTTTTGTAAGAAACTGCCAAGCTGTCTTCCAAAGTGAAGGTAACCATTTTTCATTCCCATCAACAATGAATGAGAGATCTTGTTGCTTTACATCCTCTCCAGCATTTGGCATTGTCTGTGTCCTGGATTCTGTCCATGCTAATAGGTGTGTAGTGGTATCTCTTTGTTTTGGTTTGCATTTCCCTAATGCCTTATGATATGGAGCACCATTTCATATGCTTATTTGCCATCCATATATCTTCTTTGGTGAAGTAAGTTTGTTAAGGTCTTTGGTTTTTGGTCTTTTATCTTTATCATTTTCTTTCTTTCTTTTTTTAAGATTTTATTTATTTATTTGAGGGAGAGAGAGAGAGCACAAGCCCAGGGGAGGGGCAGAGGCAGAGGGAGAAGCAGACTCCCCTGCTAAACTGGGATCCCAACAAAGGGCTTGATGCCAGGACCCTGGGATCATGACCTGAGCTGAATGCAGATGCTTAACCGATTGAACCACCCAGGCATCCCTATCATTTTCTTTATTTACCATTGTTTCTTTTATTTCATGTCCTTGATTTCTTTTCCTTCTTTTTTTTTTTTTTT